TTGCATTATCCTACGCGAAACTACGCTGTGGTTTCCATGCACGGTTAATCCAAGTGAAAAATCGAAGGAGCCATATTTTGGTCTTTTAGGTGAAAGGGTAGCAAAATGTTAACACTTCCTTCTTACCCACTACTTACTAACAGGTACCAAGCAACCTTATCATGCTTAGATTTATATATGAATGCCATGTTACACCTGTGTTGTAGTTCCGTGCCTGCACTATAACGTAACTCTTTCTCATTCTTTAAGAATAATTTCTATATCAGGTATTTCTCTTTCTTTTTCGAGTTTATCATGATAGATACTACGCTATAGAGTTATGCATACATGCATTATGAGTTTTGTTGAACAGTTGAAAATGCCTTTAAAGTGTTGAATTGCCAATTAACAGATGAGTTGATGAGAACATGGCATTCAAGTATTTGCTGGTTGTGACGTGTGTATGTGCTTGGTTTGCGTCCTTGGCTGCTTCTGATAAGGAGTTATTAAGGGTTGGTCTCAGAAAGAGGAGTTTGGACATTAACAGTTTTAGTTCTGCAAGGATCAGGGAGGCTGTTCATCATTTAAAACCAGATACAGTGTATCTGAAGAATTATCTTGATGCACAGTATTTTGGAGAAATTGGTATTGGGTCACCTCCTCAAACCTTCAGAGTTGTGTTTGACACTGGAAGCTCGAATCTGTGGGTTCCTTCTTCCAAATGTATTTTGTCTGTAAGTTAGATACCCTATATGGATACTCCTTCGGATTTTTCTTTTCTTTTTGGCTGAGTTTATTTTTAAAACAAGATATATGTGCTACCTGCAGATTGCTTGCTATTTTCATTCCAAGTATAGATCCAAGCTATCTAACACCTATACGAAAATAGGTAAGTCCGAATTAGCATGACATTGAATATGAAGTTATTCCATTTGGTTTTACACGTTCAAAGCTTGTCTTATTAGTTCATGTTAATGCTACTAATTGAAGGACACGATTTACCAAATGGGAAATGAAACTTATATTCAGTGAGACCTTTGTGTACATCACCAGATAAATGAGTGTATTAGATAATATTTGGCTATCATTTTCCTTGTTGTACTTGATAATGCTTATACTGAAGTTTTTGTTTGGGAAATCCCCAGGAACATCTTGCAGGATCCCTTATGGGCATGGACACATTCCTGGCTTCTTCAGCCAAGATAATTTAAGAGTAGGGGAACTCATCGTCAAAGATCAGGTCTTTATGACTCTAATTAGTACTTTCATTCAAATGTATCTGTACTGTTGGGTTATTCTGATGGTTGGTTACTTTTCATCCAGCAATTTGCTGAGATTACAAAGGAAGGACCTCTGGCGTTTTTAGCACATCATTTTGATGGGATACTTGGACTTGGATTCCTGAACAAGTCAGTGGGACAAGTCACACCAGTGTGGTAATTGATCCGTCTGTTTATTATTATATTCCTTGATTTGATCTTTTGATTTTTCCGTTTCAATAATGAGTGAGCAAGAGCACATGCTTCTGTGATAGTCTTTGGTGACTAAAGGATAGAAGAAAAATCAAACTATACCCTTAGAACATGATATATCATGCAGGTACAACATGATAGAACAAGGGCATGTGACTCAAAAGATTTTCTCCCTCTGGCTAAACCCAGACCCAATGTCAAAGGTAGGGGGTGAGATTGTCTTTGGTGGTATTGACTGGAGGCACTTTAAGGGTGATCATACTTATGTTCCACTTACTCATGAAGATTATTGGCAGGTCTACTGTATTTATAGCTTTATTTATGTCTCTCTATCTCTTGGCATCAACCGTGTCAATATTCACTTTTTCCAGTTTTCATCTCCAGATTGAGGTGGGAGATATTCTACTTGCAAACAATCCAACAGGTTCTCTCCCTTTTATTTCTGTTCCGCTAGATGTTAATCTAAATGCCTTGTTTTTTCATTGTTTCTTATACTTATGAATGATATTTGTTATGGAATAACTCACAAATTCACTCATAAACATCTACACACAAACAAAATAGAAATAAAGATATAACTGCAAGTGCTGAAAATGACAGAAGGTAATATGAGAAAGAACAATAATCACACACAGAAGTTAACGAGGTTCCATTGAAGTATTAAAAAGCTTCAATCTACGTCCACATAAGAATTCATTATATCTCAAATGTTAGCTTTATACTGAAGCCACATGGACATATACGAGACATGCCTATAATCATGAGGAAGATAAAGGAACAATGCTTTTCAAAATAGAACTGAGTAGACGCTAGACACCTTATCAGACAATCCTACCACTGCTATGAGACTAGACATTTAACGAGACAATCTACTTATATGGTCTACTACATATAAACATAGGAGAATCTAAAATATGTCAGACGGTCTAACAACCTTCTAAACAGATTTTATTGAGTCAATTCTTACAATATCGGTGAATAAAATGTATGAAAAAATTAAAATCGGTGAAGATTCTATAGGTTCTCTCTCACAGAACCAATGTGTTTTTAACCGCCAACTTGTACGACTTATTCTAATTCATTTCTTCAGATTATTTCATAGACTTGACTCACAAAATAATATTTGAACTTACAGGGCTATGTGCGGGTGGTTGTGCTGCTATTATTGATTCAGGAACCTCTTTGATTGCCGGTCCAACTGTATGATCTCAAACATTTTCTTGGTCCTTTTCTGGGTTGTCTTTTTTAAGGTGTCTCTTTTCTTACAAGTTTTTGTTTGCAGAAAATTGTGACTCAAATTAACCATGCCATTGGAGCAGAAGGATATGTGAGTTATGAATGTAAAAGCATCATCCATAACTATGGTGATTCCATATGGGAATATATAATTTCCGGGGTTTGCTCTCTGTACCTAACTCCTTATAGTCAGTGATTATCCAAAACTCCGCTGGAATTAACTATTATTTATATTTTATATATCTTCAGTTGAAGCCTGATATTATCTGCGTCGACATCGGACTCTGCTCACATAATAGAACATACATAAAGAAGTACAAAACTTCTCATTTTCCTCTGTTTCTTCTAAGACACATTCCTTTATTTCAATTCTCTTAACCAAAGTCTACCTTTAACCTGCAGTGATGTTATTGAAACAGCGGCACATAATGAAAGTTGGGGCGAGTCAAGAACAAAGGAGAGCCCCTTGTGTACTTTTTGTGATATGATAGTTTTTTGGATTCAAGTTCAGCTTAAGCAAAAGAACACAAAGGATAAAATATTAAAATATGTAGATGAGGTAATGGTTGCACAATGGTTAAATGTCAGAGTCATCGATTTTACTTTTGAATTGCGTATTCAATAACTCTACTTTTCCAATTTAGTTCTTACAAGCTCTTTGTTTTTTCTGTAAAAGCTGTGTGAGAAGCTTCCCAATCCCGTGGGACAAACATTTATAGACTGCAACAGTATTGACACCATGCCACAAATAACATTCACTATTGGAAACAAATCATTTCCCCTCTCTCCACAACAGGTCTGAGTTTTATGGTCAATTTTTCTAACCCCCATATAAATTTTCTGCTGTTTTAACTTTAGTGTCTTGCCACTAGAAAAATGAGCATGGAAAATGCATTATATTTATGTTAGCTACCTAGTTCTGGTTGCTTTGGCTCTGTCCAGTTTTCCCTGAAGTAAAATGTCTGAAACTGAATATAGCAAAGCTGTGTTGGTTGCTTGACTCCATATTTGGTCATTAATACTTCATAGACATTTAATGTTCCGTTTTTGTTCTCAGTATATGCTAAGAATTGAAGAAGGTTGTTCCACTGTCTGTTATGGTGGTTTTGTTCCTCTAGATGTGCCACCACCACAAGGTCCCCTCTGGTAATGAATAATATTGGAATGAAATTACTGAAGAGCATATTAGAATTAGTAGTGGTAATAGTATATGACAGTTGAAGCATGGTTGCAGGGTTCTTGGAGATCTTTTCTTGGGGGCATATCACACAGTGTTTGACTACGGCAATCTTCGTATTGGATTTGCTGAAGTTGCTTAGCCATAATTTGGTGTTAGTGCTATGTCAAATTATTTGTAGGAAAAAGCAAAAAAGAAAGAAATAAAGGCTTATAGAATTTTACAGCATTTAAAACCTGCAGACCCTCGGAATTTCTGTGCTGCAAGGTCTCTTGTAAATCTTGATTAGTAATTTGGTATACTTCATGAATAAAATTTTGTTAAACGACTTAGATTGTAACCGTGATGGAAAATATAAACAAATGCCTTAGCCTGGAATCAAACTAAGACCAATATTGCTATAGTAGGTTGTCATTCTAACACTAATGCTATAGCTTACAAAATTTCATTGTCACTGTTACAATGGATAACTACTTTTTTCATTAGCCATGATATCAACAAATTATTGTCTTTAAGATGAACATCCTAGTACAACCAATTATCAATCTATTTTTTGGGATGCTTATTGTCAAACATTGAGTTTTTCAAACAAAATTGCAGTGAAAGATGTAAGAATGTGATGTGTGGATAATTCGTTTTTGGATGATTCCAATGTTATTGATTAAACTTGGACATTTTGTTGGACTTAATTTTTTTTATTTGTTGAGCTTATAGACCGGCGTCTTTATTCAATTGTGGAGGAATGTCTGCGATAAAGTTTCTTCACATAATATTCTATAGTTTGAGATATATAATCCAATATGATATTTTTGCATCCAACACGTTTCAAACTTTGAAATTGAAATATTTAACTAATCAACATAATTAAATTTGAAACTCAAACTCGAGTTCAACACCAATCGATATAAATGCAAAAACAATTATATTATGATAACGTTAATACATATTAAAAGTAATATAACAAGTAAAATTTAAACATTATGCAACTTAATTTTTATAATGTGTAATTCAACCACGAATCAATGTATAATCATAAAACCACCAAAAATAAATACATTATATAGCTCTAAAATAACTTAATGGAGTAGTCCGCTTACTATTTGTCAAATAGAACTCTGTATATAAAATTAAGATAAAAATATAACTTTGTATAACAGTGAAAGAACAGAGAAAGTTGTCTCAGCTGAAGGAAACCTCTGGATTCTTCTCCCAGGGTTCAATACATTCGTTTCTTGTTCTCCAAGGCCTTAATATTTTGTTTTCCCTGACAATTATTGAGCTTAAATTCAATTTTCTGCTTGTCTCTGTGGAGAATTGGAATTTCGACTTTGCGAAAATGGAAGTGAGAATCGGGCAAAGGGTTTCTCGTGGAATGCTCCCTCTCCTCGCTCTCCACACCTTCAGCGAGTATTACCGGTCGGAGAGCAAACCTCCGGTGACCGCCGCCCTCATCGCCGCCAACACTATCATCTATCTCCGCCCCTCCCTCTTCGATTCCCTCATTCCTCCCATCCAGCAAGTCTGGTTCAACCCTCACCTCATTCTCAAGGTAGCTTTCTCAATTCATTTTCTTATAACTATCATCGTCGTTTCATTCGAAGCTTCTCCATTCTAATTCTAATTCTAATTCTGTTAACAGCACAAGGACTTGAAACGCTTCCTTCTGTCGCCGTTTTACCACATCGGCGAACCGCACCTTGTCTACAACATGCTATCGCTTCTCTGGAAAGGGTTTCAGCTGGAGACGTCAATGGGAAGCGTCAATTTCGCTTCCATGGTTGCTTCCCTGCTTCTCCTCTCCCAGGGCGTTACCCTAGTCTTATCTAAATCCTTGCTTCTCTTATTCGACTACGACAAACCCTACTATAACGAATACGCCGTTGGCTTCTCCGGCGTCCTCTTCGCCATGAAAGTCGTTCTCAATTCCCAATCCAGCGATTATTCCTACGTCCACGGAGTTATAGTTCCCTCTCGTTATGCCGCTTGGGCCGAATTGCTTCTCGTTCAGCTTCTCGTGCCGGGTGTCTCGTTTATTGGGCATCTTGGTGGCATTCTCGCAGGGCTTCTTTATGTCAAATTGAGGAACACTTATTCGGGCTCTAATCCCATAACATTGCTCGTCAGAGGGGTAACTGATTTTTTGAAGTGGCCTTTCAAGTTCTTGCCACGCCGGGGAAGGATCACCGGAAGGGGAACTGTGGGAAGGGGGACTGTGGGAACTAACAGAGGGTGGAGATGCCAGACGTGTACGTATGATAACGATTCGGGGTTGCGGAGTGTGTGCGAGATGTGTGGGACGAATAGGGGTGTCGATGGACTCTCTTCTTTTCAGCGGAGTTCCCGTCTTGATGGGCTTCCTTTGGATGAGTTGCGCCGCCGGAGACTCGATAGATTTGCGAGGTAGGTGATTTTAGTCCACTACAGGTTCTGGTAAATAATACATTTGGATACCCAGATTTCACATGTTTGCACTTTTTGCTTTAACATATGTTCGTTATAGAATTACGATGACAGGTTATGTGATTAGTAATTTCATCGAGCAATGAATGTATTCATGCTAGATTGATTTTGCAGTTTCTTCTAACCAAAGTTGAATGCTTTATGGTAGCTTTTGTTGGTTTTTTTCTATCAAAATTAGTATTTCATTGCAGGTTAGTTTGAACTTAGTTACTTAAATCCACTGTGCTTACCTAAACAAATGTTATTAATAGCAGATGACGGCCTATGACGGGGTGAGCCAAATATCTGCCACATAAATATGGCGGAAAGTTATGGCCGACAAATTTTTACACATTATGTGCTTAAAAACAAGGATGACGAATTTATTACAAATAGCATAATAACAAACTAATATTGTAACATTTATATAATTCTTATGATTGTCATGCTATAAAGTGTTGAACATAATTCATAAAAACAAAAATATTTCATTTACTAATGTGAGGATGCATTTGCTTTGGTTTTGGATGCTTGACACTATCCTGTAAGTTGAAAGTAATCGGGAACAGTGTTTTGTACTCAAACATAAGAAGAACAGGCAAATAATCGGTTCTAAATTTTGAAAGAAAAAACAGATATTGATAAAAACGGAGCAGCAACTACATGAGCCAAGAACACGACAAAGGAAGAAAGAAAGGAAGAAAGAAAGTAAAAAATAAGAAAGAGTAAATACACAAATTGATCCTTGAAAGATGAATGTTCTGGGGGATTAGATTTTTCATTACTTTGCATGAGTAGAAAAATATGTCTCTTAATATCAAAACCAATAGAAAACTAGGAATCATTTACATGAAAACTTCAATCGGGAAACCATGAGTCAATGCACTCGTTATTCAAGATCAATTTATATATGTAGTAAACAAACAAATAGAAGGAACAAAAAAGAAATGGACAAAAGAAACTCACTTTGAAGGTTAAGGTCGGAGCTCATGTCGCCTACGGAATCAAAGTAAGTTATTGCTATATACCACGCTAAGGGGAGTCGATGATGTAGAGGCTCCTCTAATGCTTTTACATTTTAGGTTTCTCAATGCGTTGAGAGAAGGTTTTCTTTCGTAAAAGAGGGATAAAGTTCATGGCAAACATAACCACCATTTTATAACGCTGATTAAAATACTTGTGCTTTCTGTGCTGCTGATTCTTTGTCATATATGGCATTTAAGAGGGGAATTGGGTCTTTGAGAGTGCAATTTTGAATTGAAATCTTACCTGTGTCGTACCTGTATTGGAGTGAGAATGAGAACTGTCTAAACCTTACTTAGCTAGCCTTCGATCGAACACGGTGGGTTAGATATTTATGCCACTTACAGGAGTTGATGGCCACGACCTTTTTTCTCATACTTATGTTGCTGACACTGGTGGCGTAATAACATTGTTTGGAGCTTTTAGTGCTTTGTATTAATCATGTTGATCCGTGTTAAAATTAAAATTTATTTTAGACGTTATTTACGACACCAACACTCACACTTTCCTAAGCTTCAACAAAGCAGAAGACGATATCCACATAGAGTTTAACAACACCTCCCGTTTCATAATTGCAATTTCATAACAAGTAGTTACGATGCTCGGATTATTGTTTGGAGGTGTTCAAAACAGAATACGTCCATAAAAAACTACAAATCCAAAAAAACAACAAAATCTCAAATCGATTGGAAAATTTTTTGTAATTTTTTTTCAAGCTGTTTGTACTGTAATTTGTTTGTCTTGCAACGACTCATTTCGTATTTAAATTAGTTGTAGATTCATTTAAGCGAAAATTAATTTTAGTTTTATGAGTAGATTAATAAGAGAAAGGTGATAAGAAGTGAGAAGAAGGAAATAGTTGTTTATTATAATATTGTGATAAAGTAGATGGGATTAATTTGGCCATTGGTACATGAATTCCCAGAAGGCCGTTTGTACATTGAAGCCATAAATGCCTTCGGCAGATAGGAGCCATGAACAGCCGACACCATCACACCGTACTCTGTCCCTGCCGAAGGAATAAGCATTGAAATGGTATTCCTCAACCTTTTCCCACCCCACATCACAGAAAAACAGTGTTGTTCCAATAATATTGTCTGAGAAATCCCACCCAAACTCATCTCCATTTGCTATATTTTGTTGTCCCAGATCATTGTCCTTCGACTGGCAATGCAAAGTCATGTTCTTTCCAGCTCCAAGCCTGTTCTTTATGCTCACATGTTTCCTACATTCAACAACAATCATGCACAATCCTATCGCCACCATCAGGATCATAACATCCACTTTTCTTATCTTAGCTAACCCACTCATATATATATTAACAGGATTTCAAGCTAACATTAAACATGTATAGCCACTTCAACAGGAACAACATATATAGCCATTGCTTTTGGTGTGCATGTTCGTGGATTTCGAAGGAAACTTGTTTTTCTCTTTCTTTCTTTATTATTTCCTCTTTAGCTGTTACTAGCTATTACTTCCATTAATCTTTTAAATGTCCCAGCCATTCATTGCATTACATCTAAGATCTCCGAAATTAAACTGATTTCTAGCATTTTCAGTAGAAAAGTAAAGTATTTGAAAAGTTTTCCTTCAATTTTTCTTGTAGAGATCGTGGTTGAGTGATATTTTTAATTTTAATGAAATATTTATTTTTATTTGTGTCGAATAAATTTCTGTCAGTCTATACTGCAAAATGTAACGTATTTATTGGGAATGTAAATTTATTTTAGATAAGTTATTTAAATAAGTAATCAGTTTATTACAAGAATTGGGCTTAGGTTCATTCTTTTTTATATATTTTTTTCTATTTCTTCTTTCTTCTTCTCAATTCATTTTCTTCTATCACAGTTTCCTTTTGTAACTCTTCTTTAACTTCTCTCTTTGTTTATGAATTTGTTTTCTATTTTTTCCAAAAATAGGTCCTACCAACTAAAAGGTAATAAAATATATAACGTTTCCATCTCATCAAAATTTAATTTAAAATAAATATATTTTTTGTTTTAAAACCTTTGTATTCTTAATTTTTTTGTTTTATGCAAGTGTTTCGAAATTTTTCTAGTCATGTCAATTCAGAAATGTTATTATTTAAGCTAATTATTTTTTTATTATTTTGATAATATTTTTGAGTATCTATATATTTGATATTTTACTGTTTTTTTTTAATTGCTCAAACACAAGCACAATTAAATAAACTAGTTTGAATTATAGACGGGTTTGATTTGAAATATGGAACAAATATTTCTTGATATTAAAATAGTTTAATTTTGTATCTTGATAAGTTGAATTGCTTTTGATAGAAAAATATGAATATGTTAATGTAAACATTTGGAATGAAGATGTACAACAACAAAAAAAAAAATAAATTGTATTGTTTTAACATTGTTTAAATGAAAGAAAAAAAACCTGAATAAAATGTGAACTTCGATAACTTAATCGTCACCATTTATCTGGTGCATACTAAATTGTAGTTTGGTTGACATAGTGGCTGTCCAAAAATTGTTTAACATTAATATTTTTTTTAATAAAAAAGAAAACTTTATACATTGATTGTATTTATAATCGATATAGAAAATGAGCGTGATAACATTTTTGTAATAAAAAAAATTCTATAACGATTTTAGTTATAATTGGTGCAGAAAGTTTATTTTCTTTAGATCAGGCTAGGGATTGTCTTGATTTAGTGTTATGTGCTGATATTTTTAGAAGAAGTTAAAATGACTATGTGAACAGTTTTTCACTCTTTTTAGAATACAAATTTCTATTTATATGGAATTTATACGAGTTATTTATGTTTTGAAACATTGGAGGAAAGACTTTCAAAAGATTTGGTTAAAAAATTATTGTTCTTTACTATGTTATGGTTTTTAGGATCAAAGAGTGGTTTTTTAAGTCTTCTAGAGAGATGATGTAAGGCTTACACTTTTATAAACCTATACACTTGAAAGTTTATCAGATTTTTGGTAAATAAAACTATTGTGTCGAGAAGTTAAATAATTTAGTTTTAATTTATAAAGAATAATATAAGTAGTTTAAGGTTTTATCTCCATCTATTTATTTAATTTTTTTTCATATTAAATATAGTTTGTCTATATTTTTGTGAAATATATTTTTTATTATAAATTAAATATGATTTTTTCATGTATTTTTTATTTTTTTCTTCTTTTAATAAATGTTTATATGATGATAAATAATTAATAAATTTTAATATATTAATATAACTAAAATGTCAAAAATTATTAAACTCACTGATTCTTCCAAAGCAATCACTTTTTTAGCATTAAAATTTAGTATATAATCTTTAGAACTGTCAATTTGACTCTCCTTTTGACTCTCTTTACATGGTTTGACCTTGATTCACATGAGTTAGGGTCAGAAGAGTCCACAAGACCAAAAAGTTTTTCATAGAAAAAGTCAACATGGTCAATATATCTACAAAAGCCCTGTGGGTCAGGACTAACTCATAACCCATTTAAAAAAAATACTCATTTTGAATACAAAAAATTACAACATATTAAACTATTAATCTATCACATAAATTAAATTACAACATATTAAATTATCATCATATTATAAAATTACAACATATTAAACTATATATTTATTATTGAATAGTTTATAAACAGGTTTAAAATTTTATTTATTTTTATTTTTATAAGTTAAATATAGTATTATTGTTAAAATAGATTGTAAAATGAAAGTAAAAAAAATGGATGGCTAATGTCTAACTAATCCTTTCTTGACTCTTATAAAAACTTACTTTAATATATTATTATTATTTAACTTTTTTGGTGAAGTTTATTCGTTTATATCAAGATTTATTCATTTCACATTATAAGTTTTATTTAATTATAATGTAACAACAACAACTCTCTTCAAACTTTGCTTACACATTCTCTGTTTTCTTGTATCTTGTAGTTGAAGAGATAGTCAATGCTTAATGCTGCCTTTCTCTGTTACACCCAAACAAATAAATATTATCTTCCTATGTACCATGTGCCTTCATATATGAACAAATAAGGATGCTCATACCTTCACATCACAAAAGGATAAAATTAATTTCAAATCATAATATATATATATATATATATATATATATATACACACACACACTATTAAAAAGAATCTTGAATTAATGTATTTTTAAGAAAAGTGTGAAATATTTTTTTTCCAACAAATAAACAAACTTTACGTCAACTATTTGTGCTCCTTTCGATTAATTATGCGTGTTAAAAAATATCAGAATTCTATGTCATATTATATTTATTTAAATAAAATTAAATCTATGAGTAGAAATAAAATATCTTATCATTTATTATAAATAATAGTAATTATATACAAATAAAATGGTTGTCATATTGAAAGGAAAAGAAAATATTTATTATAAATAAAGTGCGTTATCATATTTTTTTAGTGGACTAAATCCATCTTAACTTTAACCTTAATTTACTTAAGAGAAGATTTTGAAGGTTAGGGTTTATTCCCACTTGAAAAGTTCCTTAA